TATTTAGGCTACTCTGGCTCATGTACAGAAAGAAAACCTTCAGGGTTCTTACAACCCGCCATTGCCCAAAGGTCATGTGACTCTACACTACTTCCTTTGTCACATTCTCGAACATCCTCGTTGGCTATAGGAGCGCAGGAGTTCACTGTCTGGCAGTTTTAGGACAACTGTGAGCTATGGACATATGACAGTTTGGTTCCATTCACCGAAGGGCCATGATTAGGGTCACTGACAACAGCTCGGCTCAGATGTGGCCAGCAGCCCTCTGACCACGTCACCCACTGGGTTCAGCTAGAAGAACTCTTTCTAAGCCATGGACCTCACATTTGAAATAAGAGTAAGGATTAGTGTGGAAATTTTCTTGAAATTTCACTGCATACTTTATTTTTCTTTCTTTCACAAAAGACTTCATCATGAAAAGGAGGAAGCCCAAACTGAAGTGAGTCAAAAACGCTGTCTCCAAGAGAAGATTCTGGCTTGGCCCTGAATTGAGGTAAGATGTGATGGTGCACACGCTGACCCTGTGGTGAGCTACGCCAGCCCCTGCTCCTCTTCCCGTTGTCTACCCTTCTTCCTTTCTCTTTCCCTTCCTTTTGTACTTACTTCCCTTCCCGGGCTTTCCTTGTCTCTTTCCCTCTTCTGGAATTCAGTGTACCAAAGATGTGGCTTTGGATGATCCACTTTTCTAGATTCAAGAAGGGACACGTGCACCAATATGAGAATCTGAGCTGAGAGGGACAAAACTGCAAGAAAGCACAGCTGTTCTGGGAAATGGAGGGAGAACAGTTGTGTGATTGCTTGTCAGCCAGACCCAAAAGGTCAAGGGCCTTCGCTCTCCTTCCTCCATTACACCTTGCTCTCCTTTAAAAAATGCTCCATTCCAAAGCTTTCTTGACATGTTCCAGGAGATCTTCATAGACAGGGTGTCCCCAAAAATATGTACATGATTTATTCAGTGTTTATTAACATACAGTTCATTTTCAAAATTTTAAATAATCTACAGAAAAGAATAAGGCTGTTTGTCAGTGACTGTTTTCAAACTGATGATCGTTCTGATCCAGGCATTGCTGATAACAGGAAGCAATGGAATGGCAAACATCAAGAACCATTTCATTTGGTACTTGTGAGGCCTCAATTCATCAACCGGGTTTTGTACCTTAAACTTTCTCTTTTATGTATCCTCACTAAAAAGTCCAATGAGGCACTTTAAAATAAATTTTCTTGTTCAAAGCTTAGTCTGGTTGCACCCATTATTTCAAATCAGTTAAACCTGAAAAGGAGTGAAAGTCAAGTGAGTTATCAGCTAAGTGTGTATACATTTGGGGGGACACCCTATATTTGGGCCCCCAAGGGATCCAGTTGAGAGTTGGAGCACTCGCTGTGTCCTCTGGTTCTCTCAGGCAGCCTCAGTGTCTCCGACCGTTGAGCGATGATGGAATGCATGCTTTGTCCTACTGGATAAGTTATGGAGCAGAGAATATGGAAATGACAACAGGCTCTTTTTCTAGCCTTTCAATCACTATGAAAATTCTTTCATTGCCGTTACAAAGCTCTGTCCTTGGAAATCTAAAGTGGTTTAATATAGCCTTTTTCACTCATGGCCTGAACCTCAGAATTCGTCTATCTCCCCTCCCCCATCCTCTCCTCTCCACCTCTTTTACTTTCTCTTTCTTTGTATTATTATTGCCATTAATTTTTTAAGCAATCACAAACTTACAGAAATATTTTCTGAAATTTTTGAGAACAGTTTTCAACATGATGCCCTATTATCCCCAAGTACTTTAGTTTCTGTTTCCTACAATCAAAGATGTCCTTCTACATAGCCAAAATGTGATCATCGAAATCAGGGCATGAACATTGCATATTACCACCATCTAATCCTGAGACCCCGTTCAAATGTTGCCGATTGTCCCAATGAGGACCTCAAAGCTAGAGGATCCAGTTAAGTTGCCCTGTCTCTTCGGTCTCCTTCAGTCTAGGACAGTGCCTTAGTCTTCCTTTGACTTTCATTATCTTGACATGTTTTAAGACCACAAGCCAGTTATTTTGTTGAATGTTCCTGAATTGAATCTGTCTGATGTTTCCTAATGATGGGACTCAGGTCATGCATCTTTGGGAGGAATATCACAGAAGGATGCTGGGTGCTGCTCATTGCATCCTGTCTAGTGGTACACTGCTTTCATGGCCATTGCTGACAGTGTTCACTAATCACTTCATTTAAGAGGTGTCTGCCTGGCTTCTTCACTGTAAAGTTACTTTTCCCCCTTTGAAATTAATGAATATGTAGGTTTGAAATATGTAAATATTCTGTTCCTCATCAAACTTTTAATTAATTTATGTATTTAAATCAGCATAGAGTCTCATGGTCTCCTATTGTATTAGATCAATTCCTGGGATGTAACTGATTACACATCTCTCACACCATCCTCTTTCCCACTTGGATGCCCTCCTCACCCTCCCCCGGGGCTTACACTGAGCTGCACCCCCCTCTCCTGGTAATAAACACCCTCTTGCCTCCCTCCAGTTCTGGGCTGCAGCTTCCCCCACCTCAGATTCCTGCCTCTTTGTTCAGCTAATACATTTAGAGTTAAATTGTTCAGGAAGGGACAGGAACAGGAAGGAGGGGAAGGACGCCTTCTGTATTCTTTGGTTCTCCCTCCTTCTTCCTCTTTCCCATTCATCCTGACCTATCCTGACTCCTCCCACCCTTGCCAGTCTTCCCAAGCACTCAAGGCAGGATTGAATCTTGAGCAATGACATAAGCTCCTCTAGTTAGACTCTGAGGGTCTAGTTCCTGGTGTGGGACTTGTAAGCTGTGTGGTGTTGGGTAAGTTACTTTCTGTCTTCAAGCCTCAATGGCAGAGTGTATAAACGGAATATCTTAATAATGCTACTTCATGGTGTTCCCAGAATTAAATGAGGTAGGGCATGTAAGACCTGTATTGCTTCCCACATGACAAGCACTAAATAAATTCTATCCATTACTATTTCCTTCCTCTCTGTGTTGGGTGGAAGTTGTTTTATCTCTTCCCACCCCCATCCCTGAATGCTTTCTTTTATCCCATTCTTTTTATGTTTTGGCTTCTCTAGACTATTTTGCTTTCTTGCTCTTCATTTTTTAAAATATATTTTTGTTGATTTCAGAGAGGAAGGGAGAGGGAGAGAGATAGAAACATCAATGATAAGAGAGAATCATTGATTGGCTGCCTCCTGCACACCCCCTACTGGGGATCAAGCCCACAACCCAGGCATGTGCCCTCGACCAGAATCAAACCTATGACCCTTCAGTTCTCAGACTGACACTCTAGCTACTAAGCTAAACCAGCTAGGGCATTTCTTGCTCTTCTTGACTCATTTTACTTCCCATTGGTTCATGTATAAGATGTGCTAATGGGACTGGCCAGTGTGCCTCAGTGGTTGGTATGGACCTATGAACTAGGAGGTCAGGGTTCAATTCCCAATCAGGGAACATGCCCGGGTTGCGTGCAGGAGGCAGTCAATCAATGATTCTCTCTCATCATTGATGTTTCTATCTCTCCTTCTCCCTTCCTCTCTGAAAGCAGTTAAAAAAAAAAAAAAAAAGATGAGCTAAAGGGAGGCATCCATTGAGCTCCACCAGCAGAAAGTCTGTGGGGATTCCCACACTCTCCATGCCCTGGCATA